CGGTCGCCGCCTCATTGGATATGGGCAAGCGAGGCTTTGTGCCACTGGTGGCCCCTTTGTGGCCCTCGGTGGCCGCCTCTTTCCAAAGGGGCATGCGAGGCCTTACGGCACTGGAGATTTGTAAGAGGTCCTCGATGACCGCCTCTTTTAATCTGGGCATGCGAGGCCGGCTTTACGGCACTGGAGACCCCTTGGTGGTCCTCGGTGCCCGCCTCGAATTTCTCCGGCATGCGAGGCTTTCTGGCCCCTCCGTGGCCTTCGATGACCACCTCAGGAAATTCGATGGACGTCGTGGAGAAGGCCATCTTAGCACCGGCCGTGGAGCATGAGTACGTCCACGACGTCATCGAGGACGGTGACGTCGAATCCAATCCGGGGCCGAGCTGTACATTGAGTTGTCTCTCGTGGAATTGCCAGGGCAAAGTCAAGCTTTACGAGGCCTTCAACCTGGGGGTCTTCGATGGCTATGACGTCGTATGTTTGCAGGAGACCAACTTCTATGAGGAGGACAGGTGCGACTTCCGCAAGCTTGCTCTTCCACGAGGTTTTCCTTGCTATCATGGAGGAGGACACCACAGCGTGGACACCATTGGCCGGGACTTCGCGCGTGGTGGATTGACCGCTCTGGTCAAACATGGCTGGGCTTCGCGACTCCTTCGTGCCGAGTGGAACGAGGGCCAAATTCGAGTGGCTGGGCATCCAGATGGATGGCTTTGTTTTGTACAATGTCCCTCGAAAACCTGGAGGCGACGAGGAGCTCTACGTTGTGGAGGTTCAGGAGCTCCTGGGCGACTACAACAAGGCCATCATCGTCGGTGACCACAACATCCAGCTAAACGATTCCAGGCTGCAGGCAGTGAGGTAGTCGGGTGCATTGATGAGCAGGGTCAGCCTGCTCCTTCCTGTCACGATGGTGGCCGATGCCTCGACTATGCCGTGGCTAAGAATGTCACGACGGTTTTCCCCGATTACCCACCCAATAGCGGCAGCAGCGACCACAAGGCCTTCAGCTTCTTCGTGTGTGTCGCCCGCTCTGCTAAGGACACCCTGTATCGTCTTCGGCCAACGACGCACTATGATAGGCCTGACTCTATCGGAGCCAAGGAATGGGCACATCGGCAAGCTCTTCATTGGCAGAACCACCCGGTTCCGGAGGATACCAATGACACCGAGCATGAGTGGCAATGGTTCAACAACACAGCGGAGGCTGCCATGCGGGCCGCCACGCGCGGCCACAAGCAGCCTCAGGATCCGCCCAACCGGCGGCCCAAAGGGGCACTGGTGGACTTCATTAATTAAGGCCGACCGCCGAGCAACTGCGCAAGATCCGGCATCGCATAGGCTTCGCAACCTTCAAGGCCGGCTGCGAGAGTGTGTTAGACAGTCTGAGCGAGGCCAGCCCTTCTTCGCCTGCTTAGAAAATGTGCGTAGCTCCTGGCCACCATGGCTGGAACCGGTTCGCGATTGGACCCAGCTCCATGTGCTGCGCAACGTGGTGGACGCGGCCATCCTGGACGCTAGGCGCAACACTGCCCTTGCGGGCATACACAAGTGGCAAAGGTACATGGCTGCAAAGGGCAAGCAGGCAACTCGGTGGCTTCAGGGCAAATCTCGACCTGCCAACTTTAAGTGATTGCTGAGGGCGACACCGTGGCGTCCATGGATACCATGCTTGGAAGAAAATCTGGGATCGGCGGTGCGTGGACCCGGGTGAGGCGAGCCGCAAGTGGGCTACCTGAGGCAACACAGCCCCTTTTTCGGAAGATTGTTGCAACTTTTGGACGGCGAGTCGACTTCAGCAGCAAGCTCGACGAAAAGTTCATAGTGCTGCCGGCCCTGACGGCTGGCGTGGCGAAGAGATCTCCACATGGCCTGTGGAGGCGTGGGCTGCTTACAATTGTCTGATGAACTGATGGTTTCGGCGCCAAAGCTTCCCGCGAGCATGGCAGCAAATGCGGCAGGTACATCTGCCCAAAGAGGAGCCAGAAGGTGACGGGCTTGAGGCCGGGTCCATGTGACCGATTGTCGTCACTTCGGTTCTGTGGCGAGTGGTCAGCAGCTGCATCGCTACGGCTCCTCATGCTTCAGCAGTTGCAGCTGGAGATTCTTCATGATTCTCAGTATGGAGTTCACCAAGCTTTGGCTCAGATGGCTATGGCTTTTGAACAAGGCCAACCCATGATCTCGTTGGATTACGCCAAATGTTTCGATCATGTCAGCCCGCCGATTGTGCTGGCGGTGATGCAAAAGGCGGGCATGCCGAGCTCATTGATTGAGCTGCTGAGCCATGTTTGGCGACAGGAAAGGGTTCTTGAGTTTCAGGGCTATGCTCGACGCGGCACCCTAGCAGTGACTACTTCGCTGCCACAAGGCGACAGCCTTAGCCCAATGGCCTTGAATGTTCTGTTGGCTGCTGCATGTTTTCATATCCAGCATGAATTGGGAGTGACTGTAACAGTTCGGTTTTTCTCGATGATCGAACGACCGCCGCAGCTCCTCACACGCTGCTGCGAGTCACTGAACTTTGGAATGAGTGGAGTGAGACCTTCGGTCTCATTGAGAACCATCGCAAAAGGGCTGCCGTCGGCAAACGAGTGAGTCAGTTGGATGTCCTGCGCCGGCACGGCTGGGCGCAGCACATCAAGGACCAGGTGCGGGTTCTAGGCGTGAGCTTTTGCGCTGCTAGTCATATTGTTCCGGCATGCACCGAGCAGCGCACCTCTGAAGCGCTGCGCATGGCAGTGCGGCTCCGAAAGCGGGGCATTCATACTGCGATCCGAAGGGCTTTGTGGTGGAGCCGCGTCATTCCCAAAGCCTCCTGGGGACATTTGCTCAAGCCACCGACCCCTCAGATGTGTCATCTTTTTGGGCAATCGTTCAAGAAGGTCTTGAACCTCCATGCTCAGGGCAGTCGTTCACTCCAGACTTTGCTGGAAGGTCACAACATGGATTTCGAGTTCATGAGCTGCTTCGACACCATTGCGGCGCTTAAGTTGTCAGGCTTTTGGACTCAGGTTGCTGAGTGTGCCACCTCCGGCACATGGTTCGGCACAGTGAGCGCGGCTATGCGCCGCCTAGGCTGGCAGCCCACTCAGGTCAGCACTCGCTTTACTGCAGGACGCCAGCTGCTTGACGTTGTGGCTGATAGCAGCAAGGAGGTCCAACACAGGCTCAGGGACCAATGGAGGCAACGACTTCACGGCGAGTTCACTCAGCAAAATCGTCGCGATGCTGCCTTGCTCCGTGGATGGCGATACCACTCTGGACAGACGAGCTTGGCTATCAGGCTCTACCAAGAGGCCAGCACTGAGGGCCGTGCAGTGTTGACAGGCGCTGCCTTGTCATCTGCCTTTTACGGCAAACGGAAGTTCGGTGCACCTGACACTGTGTGCCCGTGGTGCCACGAGGCAACTGTGCCTGACTGGCATCACCTTGCTTGGCACTGCCAGGGAATGCCCTTGACAGAACAAAGACCTCAGACCCCGAACGAACTGCCTGCGCTTCGGCTTGGATGGCTCGTGATCCGAGAGACTGCTCCGAGTGCTGCGCACCGCCTCCGTTGGCTGGCCTCTGTCCGAGAGGCCGTTCGCGAAAGGTTGGGCTAGCCCCTCCGAGGGGCATGGGCGCCTGAGGCGCCCACTGGACGGGCGAGCTCCCTGAGTTTTCTTTGACTTCGCTAACGAGTTGCAGGTCCACTTTGGGCCTGTAAACTGTCCAACACTGGCTCCTGAATCCCGCCAGTACGTAGTCGCGCCTGTCACGGTGGTATCCTGGTGGTCTCCTGATGATCCTGGCGCTCGTGGTCGTCCCTCGTTGTCGCGGTTGTCGTAGTCGTAGTTTCGTTGCGGTGGTCGCTGTTTTCGTTAGGGTCGCCCTGAGTCCTCGGCTACTTTCTCTGATGATGAAACTGGCATTTTAGCATTTGCTGGGTTATAAAAAATCACCCAAGCCTCGGCCCTACAAACCGCCTGCCGTGAACCATGGATCCCCAAGCCTTTCCTGAACTCTGAAAAACTAGACCATTCTAGCATTCCTCGAAAGAACAGGGAGCCCTACGCCTCTAAACAGTCGGGTTGGTACTGGCTGGGACATCGTCATAGCAAGTGAGACTCGCCGTGACAGCTCCTACGTGGCAAAAGAGAAGTTGGCGAGGGCCTGTTTACGCTTTTCGGGCTAAGATTACCCCTGGGCATTAAAAATAGCCCAAAAGCCTTATATATTACGGTCTTTGGGCCCGAAAGCCTTAATATATGGGTGGTTGTCAATATTAGAGTCCCTCTTTGGGTCCTTATTATATTACGGCACCTAATTTTTAGGGTACCCCAAAAGAGGCCATAATGTTGACAACCACCCATATGAGTCCTCAGATGCCTAGGGTTAGGGGAGCTTCAGGGTGTCAGGATTTTAGTGTTTACGCTTTTGGGTCGGTTTTGGGTTCTGAGATTGTTGGGTTGTGCAGCAGGGTTTGGAGCTTTGGGTCCTGCTAGACGGTTGGGGTTTCAGGTTCAAGCTTTCCAAGAGTGGGTTTCATACTTTTGGGGCTTTGTAGGGGTGTCATAGGGACAATATGCGGGTTTGTTTGTATGATTTGTATGTGTGTGTGTTGTTTCTTGAAAACGGTATAGAGGCAAGACGGAGGTTTTTGACGGCTTGATGTTCGGAGATTCATGGAGCTTGGCAAGTCGATAAAAAGGGTAGCCACTATAGCCACTAGGTAGTCGCATCCTTCCACACCCTCCAAAGTCCTTGATTCGTAGAAACGCCCTTTAGGATTACAAGTAAACCTTCAAACACCCGCCAAACCCTTATGCATTTTGGCTGCCATAGAGTTTACGGTTCCGTTGTGTCAAGAGTTTCAAGGTTTCATGCCTTTCTATGCGGGTGGTCGGGATTGAGCTTTTTGGTGTTGGATCGCTTCTGACTTTGAGGTTTGAGTGATTCCCCTCCCCCTAGACTCGGAACCCTGAACCCCTACCCTCCCCTCCCTCCCCCTCACGCAGGATGAACGACGCAACCATGCAGTTGGAGGAGGCCCCCTGTCGGTGGGATGAAGGTAGGTGGGGGCCAAGCAAGAGCTCTTGCATAGTGTGATCCGAAGAAAATGGGACATTTTGCCTGTCTGAAACGCTTTCGAATTTTTGCTATGGGATTCAGGCTTCCAGGCTTCGGCAGGTGTAGGTTTCAAGGTTAAGTTCAGGGTGCTGTTTGGTTTAGGTTGAGGTTTAGAGGCACCATCAAGGAACATCCGTTTCTCATGGCTGCATGAGTGATTGGACCTGAGGTTGTTTGCAGTTGGTCGATTGGTCTCTTCGCAATCGAGTTCGAAGAGCATGAGCCCTTGTTTTCTCATGGTACCCTAACCCTAAACCCTTAACCCTAAACCCTAAACCGCCGATGTTACTCCCAAAACCTCGGGTCGGGGAATTTTGCTCTCGACTAGAGATCAGCGCTCCTCTGTAACCTGTGCAGCATGCTAAAACTTGTCAAGCCCCATGGCTAGATACGGAGTCCAGAGTCTAAGCAGAGGGTTCGAGGGTTTAAAATACCCATTACAATAGGTGATTAGCACAGAAAGGATTCACATTAGATAATCCACTGCGAGTTTAAACGCACTCACACAGCCATGAGCCCTTAACTTGCATGTCCCGTGGCCTCGCCCTGCATGATAGGAATTCGGACAGTGATGAATGCACCCAAGACGAGCAGCCGCGACCCTAAAATGGTATGGTGGGTTCCGTTTAGGCTACCCGAAACCCCTGAACCCTAAACCCTGCCCTAGACCCTAAAACCTATGGTGGATTCGGTTTAGGGTGCCCCAAGTCCGTCAAGCCTAAACCATCCTAAACCCTACCCTGGACCCTAAACGTCTGATGGGTGCCAGGGCATGGACACGCTGATCGAGATCCGCCGCCTGAAGCGCGAAGGAAAGGAGGCCTTCGAATAGGTTTAAAGGTTGGGGGGTTAATATAGGGGCCCAAATAAATTACTAACACTATTTTGCGGGTTCCTTTTTGTAACTATAGTAGAACATGCCCCAAAACCCTATTCTTCTGATTATGGCCCCGAATAGTTGGGGCATCGCAGACTGATCGAGCCTTTGGTTCAGGGCTTACAGTTGCTTTGGGCTTGTGTTTTGCATTGTCTTAGTGTTTAGGGTGTCAGAGCAGGTCCGAGGACAGGATGGACGGCACAATGTTAAAGAAGCAGCTTCTAGCAATAATGAGAACTTGCTGTAATGTAGTAAGGTAGGAATAGGCAGTATTTTTGAGTAAGTTCTATATACGAATGACGATAGCAACGATAGTAGGTATAGTAATAAACGACTGATCACATTAACATCAGTGGTACCACTAGCATCTATTCGCAATAATGAATGGTGATGGGAATGATAAGAACGCACATGTTAACAGCATTATTGCGAAATAGCAACAGGTTTACGCCAAATGTGGTGCTGTTTAATGCAAGCGTCCTTCGCTAATTAGAAAGAACGCTCATGTAGAGGTCCGAACAAGCCCTAAACCCTTAACCCCGTACCCAACCCCATAGTTCAGCGTTTGGGTTTAAGTTCCCCTTCAGCCCCTGTTAGAAGATGTTAGAACTGTAGAAGTAATAGGCCCCTCTACCGGACCCGGCAAGCCTCGCACACCCTAAACTTCCGAAAACCTAACCCTCGCGCCATAAACCCGAGACCGTTAGAAGTCTGAAAGGAATAAATAGCTACAGGAACCAGAGTCTCGTTCTTGCTATACTACTTCAGCTTCGTAGACCCTGAGCCCTACACAACAGGACCGTATGGCTGCTTCGTAATAAGGTTGACACGGCTGGAATTTGCAGCCACAGCCAGCTTTCTTTCACCCCAATCCTTGAACCCTGCACCCCAAGATGCTGAACCCTAAGCGCTGCACGCCGCAAACTCTAAGCGCGAAGAGCGCCAAAATACTTATTGCAATGCCCAATAAACGGGGATGCGTTTATCTGCCCGAAACCCGAAACCTATCAGAACCCACTGTACATCCCAAACCTAACAAAACCCAACTGTAGCCGATGCAGCTGCCCTAAGCTGTTGCAGGACGAGCTTCAGAGACCCGCTGCATCCAGTGTGGCACAGGATGAGCAGACGAACGAAGGCTCGCACCGTCTTTCGTCTAAGAGGCCCGTAAACATCTTAAACCCGAAACTAACCTAAACATTAGGGTTCAGGGTTTAGGGGCTCAGGTATGGTTGCGCAGTCTTTTGAGGTGTACAGGTTAGTTAGACCGTTGCATGATGTTTCGTTTGTCCGAAGGGGACTTGAAGGGGCGGGGGCGGCCTTGCGCGCCTGAGCTGCTCTGATGCTGTTAGCCGCATGGATTGGCCCGGACGACTGCTGCTTTGAAGTCATGCACATCGTGGCGGATGCTGGGATTGACTTTTCTGCTTGGATTGTGTCCGCACAGATGCTAGTGCAGGCGATGCCGCGGCATTGAGTTGCTTTGCCCGCCTTGCATACATGGGGGCACCTTCGACTGGCTCTGCGGCGAAAGTGACCACGTCATTGCGAGGTGTCAGGTAAGAACCTGGCTAAACCCGAAAAACAAACCCTCAGCTTATACCCTAAACTTAAACCTGACCCAAACCCTGCTGTAACCCCAAAAAATCCCTGAGCCCTAAACCCTGAAATACCTAACTCTAATACCGTAACCCCAAGCCCTAAATCCTGAACCTAACCCTGGAACCGTAACCTTGCAACCGCAAAACCCAGCCTTTGCATCATCAGCAATGCCATGTTCACTATAGTATGGTACTACTGCTGCAATTATGCTTGAAGGGGGCTCTATGCAGGATGGTCCGTCCACCCTCGAGAAGACACACCCGGACCTTCGGATTTAGTGTCGACGGAATTCTGAACCCTAAATCCCGTACTAACTCCCAACCTCCCAAACCCTAAACACCTACATCCTGAAACCCCAAAACCCTAAAAACCCTAAACCCTAAAACCCCACACCCTAAAACCCTAAACCCTAACACCCTAACACCCCACACGCTAAAACCCTAAATCCTAACCCATAGATATTTGCTGATCAGACTCCGACTTGCAGGCGGAGACCTCTACGCCCGCAGCCGCGCAGACCCAAAGGCCCTGGAAGGTTAGAAAGCGGGCTTGGGACCCTTTAAGGGTCCCTTTAAAGGGATCTATAGGGATTCTATAAGGGTATAGGGTTTAGGGTTTGGGGGTTTAGGGTTAGAAAGCGGGCTTAGCATTGAGGGAGTACCTTAACCCTGAAGAACCTACCTATTTTAGGGTTCCTTGTTATGATTTCCTTATATAAGTCCTTACAAAGGTGGGTTATTTGGGATTGAGGGAGTAGGGTTTAGGGTTTAGGGTATGCCTGAATCCGAAGCCCTGAACCTTAAATCCGAATCCCTGAACCTTAAATCTTAAACCCTACACCCCTGAGCCCCTAAACCCTGAATCCTAAACCCCAAGCCGTTGCCTGGATTTGGGGATCGGGGGTCTTCCGAAGTTCGGGCGTGCGTTGTTGCATTTGAAGGCTTAGGGTGCATAAGTTTCCGGCTTCTTCAAAGGGTTCAACCAACATCCTAAGGGTTTTGTGGGTTGCCAGGGTTGCTGCAAGGCTGAGTTAGGGCCAGTTAGGGTAAGGTTTTTTGCTTTTTGTTGTTGGCTTAGCAGTAGTGGAACTACCTGAAGGACCAGATGGCCTTCAAAAGTAGGGGACCTATACCTATATACAATGAAACCCTATGCCTATGCCCTAAACCCACTCTATGTAAAAAAAACCTTATAAGCCTTAAGGTAGTAACCCTATATATTATATAGTATATGAACCTGAAACCCTTTTAGGGTTTCTGTCGTCCTTGGGTAGTGATGCCAGAGAAGGACTGTCCTATTTAGGGGTTCTGGGTCTTTGAACGGTAAGGGTTTAGGGTTTAGAAGGGTTTCGGGTTTAGGAGGGGTTAGGGTTTTTTGGGGGGGTTGAGGAAGGTTCAGGGTTTAGGAGGCTTTAGGGTTTAGGAGGGTTTAGGGTTAACCTTCCTTAGGCTCCAGAGGACCTTGCTGTCAGGTAGGGTTTTAGGATAGTCATTGCGTAGCTTAGGAATTGGGAGGGTATATGACTGTTATTCAGGCACTTGGACCCTTAGGGTACCCCTAAAACCTAAGCCGCAGACCTTAAACCGTGGAGTTTGGAGCTTGGGACTTACGGTGAAGAATTTGGACTGGAATCTTTCTGTTCTGAGTTTGAGCTTTCCCATCACTCTCTGGTTTAGGGCTTTTTCTGAGACTGGGGTTTGCCGTTTTGGTCGTCGTTCAGGGTTCGGGGCTTTAGGCTTGAGTTTCAGGATCGGATTGCGGCTTTTGGGGATTAGAGTTTTGATAAACTCCCCGTCTTCAAGTGCCTAAAATCCCGTAAACCCTGAACCCTCTTTCTATGTAGGGGTGCTTCAGGAGTCTACAGTACGTTGGGTCGATGGCTTGTAGCCAAGAGTTTCGAGCTTCGGCAAAGCGGTCCTTAAGTAGTGGTTACAAGGGGCCCTCAGCCTCAAACACCCCTACACTAAACTCCCTAAATGCTAAGCCGTGAAGCCGTGGAGGTTCTGATTTGAGGTGGAGCTCGGTGAAACGCAAAGCCCCAACCCTGAGCTCGAAACCTCTAAACCTTATACAGCGCTCAGCAGACCGTTGTAGAACCCGTAAACCTGAGCCCCAATCCCAGTCCCTCAAAATCGCAAAGCATGAGAAAAGCTTTCCGAAAGCCTTGGTTTTGGATGGCTTGCTGGGTTCAGGCCCAGTGGCAAAGTGCTTTCAGGGCAATGGCATTAGTTGTTGGTGGCTGCCAAGACAGCCGGGTGTTCCGACAGCAATTGCTGAAGGTGTTAGCATGCTACATCCTTAAAAAAGCTCGCGTAAGTTTGTTCTTTTGTTTATGGTTTAGGGTGTATGTATAGGGATAGAGCTTAATGAGCTTTCGAACCCCGAAACCGAGTTGCCTGCGGCGCCAGACCCGCCGGCGGCCATGTCGCCATGGGACTTATGGACCACATGGAAGAGCTGGACATCCGAAAAGTGGTTTTTCAACCCTATGTCCGGCGCCTCCGTCGAATATCACTTTTTCGACCCTTGGCTGGCTTGAGGCCGAAATCATGGCCAAGATGAGCCACAACAACATGTGAAACTCCTCACCGAGTTCAGCGATGGCAACAACCTGCGGCTCATCATGCGGCACGCCGGCCCGACCTTGCCAAAAGTCGCCGAACCTACCAGCTTCTTCGACGCGCCTTGCTACAACCCCCTGACACCCTGAACCGGTTCTAGCCTGCCCACAACCCCGTAGTGGCAGCTAGGTCTCCTCCTGCAGGCGCATTGCAAGCAGTACATGCAGATGGGCCACCGTACCATCTGCACCCTCTGGAGCATCAGCAGAGAGGCAGGGGGCACGGGCTGGGTTTCCTAAAAACTGAGTCTTTCTATTCGTCAGTCCAACATGCAGCTTTTCCAACTGTTATTGGTGGCCTGCATGTCGGTATGCATCTAGCCGTTGAAGCCTTCATTGCCTGGGTTCTGGAGAAGTACAATCTATTTTTTTCGCAATATACCACAAGGGACTGCTGTTGGGCTTGGGGTTTATAGGGTTTAGTGTTGAGTTGAGGGCTTAGGGTTGTCTAGTTTTCACATGTGCGTCGCAGGAGGGCGTCGTCATCATAAGACTAGGTTTCCCTTTGAAGACATGAGTTCCATCCACCTGTTGCTCAAATCACTGAAACTCGGCACATGTCATTCCTAAGCATAAACCCTATATACCTTCGATAACCTCAAGCCTTAAACCCTGATTTTGGACCGCCCCCAGCTTCGAATCCGAAGCCCCATGCGTCCCTGTCTCGATTCAGAAAAACTCCTGTAAGGGTTCCTGCAACGGCTTTCCCCGCAAGGTTAGCTAAAGGTTCAGG